TTTGCATTATTTGTTAAATAATCAAGACAGATCTATTTCTTTAAAAGTTGCAAAATTTTTGCTACATAATGTGTAAGCTTCGCCCACAAATGGTTGCTAGTAGGTATTGATGAAAGGGGATACTTCTGTGGACGTCCATGGTTTACAAGTTATATTCTGGTTGATTCTGTTAAAGGTTGACTATAATGTCATGATTACATGCAATGATTGTAGGTATTGATGAAAGGGGTAATATTGTTGTCTGTTTTATTGTATCTATTTTTATTGGTCAATGACCGAAATAAATATGATGATGATGACTTGAATACTTGACAACTTTACAGACCCAGATATTTAAAAGGAGACTCACTGAGTCCCCAGTAGACTACTAAAGCACTGAGAAGGTGAGTTTGTTGTGCAGATTTGTTTTGCAACAGCTTTATATTGTAATTCAGTATCAATTCAACCTAACTCATATTGTGGGTTACTACACAAGATCCAGGCTTTAGAGCTTTTAAATGGAAACACACAAATCAATAAAATACAAATTATTTCATTTTACTTCAATCATTGCATGTAATCATGACATTATAGTCAACCTTTAACAGAATCAACCAGAATATAACTTGTAAACCATGGACGTCCACAGAAGTATTCTAGGAATTGAGAATGGCAACTCGGTTGGAAACTGTCACCTACCAGTCATAGCCTACTGCAAATGAAGTTTCAATTGCTGGAGCAATTAGTTTAGCAGCTGTCATAATATACTTTTCTGCTGTAGCTTTCCTTAAAAACACAAGATATTCTAGTGAGAAAAGGCAAAGCATTATATACACACAGTGGCTGACACAGAAACTTATTCAAGGAAGTACTAGATAAATATTAGATTTAAATAGTTAAATAAATAAATAAATAATAAATATTAAGTACTAAATAAAAAACAACAATTAAGGTACTTAGAAAGGAAACTGATTTGTGGTTTCAGATAAGCTTTTGTGGACTATAATTCTCCATTAAAAGTACTTATTAGGACACTCATTCCATCCTCTATCTGAACACTGATTCTCTGAGTATGGAAAACAGAAAATATCAGCAGGCTTGGGAAATCTGAAGTACAAAATATTTAGATTTTCCCACTACCCACCCAACTATATAGGGCAAAGAGGAAAAGAGGACTGAACTTGTTCCAGGACTATGGAATATTACTAAATCACTGGAAGGAAAAAAGAGTGGAAAATCGGGAGTGAGGGAATGGAATTAAATACCCTTAAAAGAGGGCAAGGCTGTTTTGCTGGCATCTTAAACTGGAGCATTCCACAATGTAACATATTATTAACAATCTTACCTGTCCAGTTTTTAAACCCACCTTCCCACATATTTTCTCAAACCCTTTTTAGGGAAATTAATTTGGTCAGAGGGATATAAAATTAAAATGTCAAATGAATGATTGTACATTTAGGGATAAACTATTTAACTTATTTGCCCAATACCACTGATAATGATCCAATAGGGAATAAAGTCTGATGGATCTAATTGTTTTTCAAAGGGCAACTGGGGAATTTCCCAGCTCTCCAGCGGGCAGTTATGTTTAGTACCTGGTGAGTAATTGGCAGTGGAAGACAAACTGGACTCCAGGACACTTGTCCCCAAGTGGCCTCTTTCTGTGGGCCAATCCCAATCAGTGCCTTGGTTCAATGAGGCTTTCCAGGAAATGAAGAGCCAGAAATAATGCTGGGAGCACCAATGAAGGACAATGAGAAGTTAATGTGGCCAAGCACATGCTGGGGCCTAAACTATGGCAATAAGGGAGGTGAAGCATGCTTATTGAATTAGTGGGCTGTCATCCAGTGGCCTTCTTTAGGGTTACAAACTTCCTACTGGGAGAGGACAGTCTTAAGATCTCCTGCCTGACCACTGTAACCAATTTACACAGCATTTTGCCAATAAAGTTGCTCAGATTTGCTGTAAACTTGACTCTGCCTGGACAGAGTCTGTGGTCATGTGTGGGGCACCATCTTACCATATTATCTAGGGCCTGTACCTCCAAGGAAAAGAATAGGTGCAGTCTCAGTTGTCCCCTTCTATTTATTCTTTGGACCTCTGCTTGTCCTGACTTTTCCAGAAAGCAGGCAGAGTGGTGACCATTTGGATCCAAGAGATCATCAATGCTTCCTTAAAATGAGGAGCAGCTACTTGCAGCCTTGAAGGAGGCTGTTGTGTGCTACCTTCTGAGGAAGCCATCACTGGATCCAGCAGTCTTGGATAACTATAATCCCACCTCCAATGTCCCCTTTTTTAAGAAGAATGTTGAGATGGTAATAGCACACTAACTTCACAACAGTTACCCAGAGAATCCTACGCTCAGCTCTAGATGGTTTGCCAGTTGCGGCCTTGCATAGTGCAGGAAAGTCTGGCCACAGTAACTCATGCCCTTGTTACCATCAATTTAGCCTACTGCAATGTGCTTTACGTGGGTCTGCCATGAAAGATTACCCAGAAAGTGTAACTGTTCCAGAAACTTATTAGCTCTTGGCCCTGGGAGCACATAACATTGATTTTGCAGCTTTTGAGGCTTTTCCCAATTGGCTTCAGGGTACAATTTAATTTTGATCTATAAAGCCCTCTGTGGTTTGATACCTGGGTACTCACAGAACCACCTACTCCAGCCAGCATTGGCCCAGCTGTATGTAACAGTATGTAACATCCAAGGGAATTTACATACAGTCTTATATTTCTAAGTGGTTTGGGGGGCCTGAAGCTAAAAAGTGCTGCTTTTCTAAGGCAATGATGGTGCCTTGGAACAGCCTCCCAATGGAGATCAGGTTAGCCCTCTTCTTGTTGTTTTTTAGAAAAACATTAAAGACTCAACCATTTTGGAGGACATTCTCTTAAGCATATATATGACATCACTTTTTAATCTTCCCTTATCTTTTTTTGTCCTTGTTTTATTATCATATCTTGTTTATGTTGTTTTTGATGGTCTCTTTTGTGGGTTCTAATCAGACTATGGATGTTTTAATTTTTCTTATAGTCTTAAATAAAAAGTTATGAGATTGCAGAGATGAGGACATTTGGTAAATACCGTATTTTTCTGACTATAAGACGATACTTTTTTCTAAAATCCTTA